GAAGACGACCTATCCAGAGATGCGTTCATTGTACAATTAAAGTCACCAGCCAGGAAACCAATTTCTTTACAATGGTGGTTAAACAATAAGATCATTTGTGACATAAATTGAGGCGAATCATCATTAGGAGCATATACATTGAGAATAGTTATATATTTTCCATGGATCAAGCCCTTAATTAAAATAAATCTCCCCTCCGGGTCCCTCTCCTCATGTTCCAAAACAAAAGGAAGATTCTTGTGTATAAGAATGGCTGTACCCCTTTTACTTTGTGAATGGGAGGAAAAATATACCTTACTAACCCAGTCCCTTTTAAGTTTCAAATGTTCTGTAGCAGATAACCTGGTTTCCTGTAATAGTGCTATATCAAGTTTATTTTTTTTCAAATAAGTCAAAACCTTTTTCCTTTTGATCACATGACCCAGTCCCTGTACATTCCAGGTAACAATCTTAAGAGAACCAGACATACAAACTGTAAGGCATAAAACAGTTTAGACACCAGGTGTCATATTTGAATAGACTAGTCTGTCCATAGGCATTTATGTATGTATAAAAAAAAGAAAAGACACATTTAGGCTCCTGACGTTTAACACACAAAAAAGAAGAAAACAATAAAAAAATAAAGTGCATAATCTGCAAACAGCAGCGTTCACCCTCCCGAATCCTGTCCCCAAACGACAGAAAAGAAAACCCCAAAAAGATGTCACTGTTATTTCCAAGCAACATGCAACTCCTAATTTTTACAGTTCGATCACAGCAACAACCGGACGCTCAAAACGCCACCATCCGTAGTCCAGGCCAAAATAATGAGCCATGCTGAGAAGTGTCCCAACGTAGTAAGTTAAGAAAGAAGAAAAAAAGAAAAAAAAAAAAAAGAAAAAAAAGGAAAAAAAGAAAAATAATGTTCTTTGGGTCCCAGCATGTATATAAAGTCCATCCTCCTCCATATTTCTAAACAAAGCAAGGAAGAGGAAAGAATAATAAAGAATAATACCTCATTTAAGAGAATCCAAAAATGCAATGCCGCCTCAGGTGTATCAAAAAACTGGATTCGTCCCTTATGAAGGCATCGGAGGCGAGCAGGATAGGCAAAACCACGGTACTTATCGCAGCGGATCAGCTCCTTGGTCGCCGTGCCAAACTCTCGTCTCCTCCTCAGGACCTCCGCAGACAGATCAGGGTAGAATCTCAGTTGAAAGCCGCCATAACTAATGTCTCGCTTCTTCTTAGCTGCATTAAGCACAGCCTCTCTGTGTGGGTATCGTAGAAAACGAACCAGGATACTTCGCGGTGGCTTATTCGGGGCTGGAGCAGGAGCTAGAGCCCTGTGAGCCCGCTCGATCTCCAACGGCGGATGATCAGAAGGTAGACCGACCAAGGTCGGTAACATGTTTTGGAGAAAATCCACAAGCGGGGTGTCGCCCTCTGCTTTCTCTGGTAAGTTAATGATTTTTAAGTTTTTACGCCGACCACGGTTCTCCAGGTCGTCTATTTTTAACTGCAGCTGTTCAACTAGCTTCTCCACGGCGGCTATGCTTGTCCCGTGGGTCCCGAGGCTGTCCTCCGTCTCGGAGATCCTCCCCTCGGCCTCCTCCATGCGTTTCTCCAGGTCCGCCGCTCTATTGGAGAGCAGCGATAGGGAGCTCTCCACCGAGCCGACAGAAACTTTTAAATCGCCCAGTGCGACATCAATAATATCGAGTCGGGTGCCGATAGATGCGTCCATATCTTTCATCCGGGAGGACAGCGACTTTACCTCAGATAGAATCTGCTCCATAGTTATTTGGCTAGTTAGCTCCGAGACGCTAGCATTGGCTTCAGCCTGACTTAGCTCCTTCGAGGCGGTTTTCTTCTTGGTGGAATAACCGGGCGAGGAGAAAATTGGGAAATCTTTTTCCTGCTGTGGCCTAGGCATCCCCAAAGAGTTTTAAAGTCGATAAGGAGGTATTTAACTGGAGGAAGTTATAAGAATATTTTAAGCCTGGAGCGGAGAGGAGTCTCAAACCTCCATCTTGGTCCAGATCACGTGACCAAATCCTATTATTTTAATAATCTGAAGCATCCATAAAACTTTCAATATATCCATAATATTTTTTATCCAAATATTGTTCAACCGTATTTGTATCTGAAATATCCTCCTCAAGTCCGTATCAATAGAAGGCAAAAGAGATGGAGTTACTGAACTTATAACCATTTTACTGACATTTGTTTGAGATAATTCAAGACATTTTATAGTACTATCCTCTGTCCATCAACTGGTTAGAAGTGTTGACCGCATAACTGCATGAGTTGTTTGATTTCCTGATTGTATTTTTTTTGTAGTGTTTATATATTTAGCAGACACTAAAAGCGACAAAGTAGATATTAGCATGAAGGGATATAAACCCAGGCATCCTGTGTGCAGGACGGGTGACTTACCACCTGAGCTAGCCAGTCGGTTTTTCATCGAACTGGAACAAATACTTTGATTGGATGAAAAAAAAAGCTAAGTGTGATTGGCTGATGGTGTCATTTCTTTACATACATTTATGAAGTGCTGAGCGCACAGACATACAGTGGGGCAAAAAAGTATTTAGTCAGCCACCAATAGTACAAGTTCTCCCACTTAAAAAGATGAGAGAGGCCGGTCATTTTCATCATAGACATACCTCAACTATGAGAGACAAAATGAGAAAAAAAATCCAGAAAATCACATTGTCTGATTTTTAAAGAATTTATTTGCAAAATATGGTGGAAAATAAGTATTTGGTCAATAACAAAAGTTCATCTCAATACTTTGTTATATACCCTTTGTTGGCAATGACAGAGATCAAACGTTTTCTGTAAGTCTTCACAAGGTTTTCACACACTGTTGCTGGTATTTTGGCCCATTCCTCCATGCAGATTTCCTCTAGAGCAGTGATGTTCTGGGGCTGTCGCTGGGCAACACGGACTTTCAACTCCCTCCAAAGATTTTCTATGGGGTTGAGATCTGGAGACTGGCTAGGCCACGACAGGACCTTGAAATGCTTCTTACGAAGCCACTCCTTCGTTACCCGGGCGGTGTGTTTGGGATCATTGTCATGCTGAAAGACCCAGCCACATTTCATCTTCAATGCCCTTGCTGATGGAAGGAGGTTTTCACTCAAAATTTGTCGATACATGGCCCCATTCATTCTTTCCTGCACACGGATCAGTCGTCCTGGTCCCTTAGCAGAAAAACAGCCCCAAAGCATGATGTTTCCACCCCCATGCTTCACTGTAGGTATGGTGTTCTTTGAATGCAACTCAGCATTCTCTCTCCTCCAAACACGACAAGTAGAGTTTTTACCAAAAAGTTCTATTTTGGTTTCATCTGACCATATGATATTCTCCCAGTCAACGTCTGGATGATCCAAATGCTCTCTAGCAAACTTGAGACGGGCCTTGACATGTACTGGCTTAAGCAGGGGGACACGTCTGGCACTGCAGGATTTGAGTCCCTGGCGGCGTAGTGTGTTACTGATGGTAGCCTTTGTTTCCCGGCTCTCTGCAGGTCATTCACTAGGTCCCCCCGTGTGGTTCTGGGAGTTTTACTCACCGTTCTTGTGATCATTTTGACCCCACGGGGTGAGATCTTGCGTGGAGCCCCAGATCGAGGAATTATCAGTGGTCTTGTATGTTTTCCATTTTCTAATAATTGATCCCACAGTTGATTTCTTCACACCAAGCTGTTTACCTATTGCAGATTCAGACTTCCCAGCCTGGTGCAGGTCTATAATTTTGTTTCGGGTGTCCTTTGACAGCTCTCTAGTTTTGGCCATGGTGGAGTTTAGAGTGTGACTGTTTGAGGTTGTGGACAGGTGTCTTTTATACTGATAACGGGTTCAAACAGGTGCCATTAATGAAGGTAATGAGTGGAGGACAGAGGAGCCTCTTACAGAAGAAGTTACAGGTCTGTGAGAGCCAGAAATCTTGCTTGTTTGTAACTGACCAAATACTTATTTTCCATCATATTTTGCAAATAAATTCTTTAAAAATCAGACAATGTGATTTTCTGGGGGTTTTTTTTCACATTTTGTCTCTCATAGTTGAGGTATATCTATGATGAAAATTACCGGCCTCTCTCATCTTTTTGAGTGGGAGAACTTGCACTATTGGTGGCTGACTAAATACTTTTTTGCCCCACTGTAGTTGAACAAGCGGAGAAACTGCCGAGGCCACAGCTATGAAGCGCATAAAGAGCAGGTCGAGCCAGTGCAGCGACAGAGTCGAGCATATGCAGAGATGGACCTGAGCATAAAAACAATGGGTTGAGAGGAGTTTTTCAGAATTGAGCGCACGCCAGTCCCGGGTTCAAGTGCACGCGTGTTGCCTCAATTGAATTGATTGTTACCTACTATTATACTCTTCATTTAGTAAAACTTCAGAAGTGAAAATGTTTTTATTAATTAACAATGTGGGTTTATTTTATACATCAATTACAGTGTTCATATTAACATTACGGTTCCACTTGTATCCATTGTGGGATCTAACCAAAGCCCTCTTCAAACCAAGCTTCCTGATTGAATTTCAACCCCAGCCCACCTCTGGTGACTCTTACAGCAGACAATGCTGTCCTTGTGTACCTAGAACAAGATGTAATTTAAACAGAAATCAAACATTAACAAAATAGTTATTGTAAGTTTCCCAAATATGTTCAAATACCAACTGAATGTAGATTTATTTTTATCAGAAGTGCAGCCTTTAAACTTTGTCTTTCTGCAAAGGTGATGAATTTGTTCTAAAAGTAGTTCTTAAACAGACATGGACGTTATTTAACAGGCAAATCATTTCCATGGTAGAAGCTAGAACAAGAAATGAAAAGGTTGTTAGGTACTCAGGTTTTAGTTTACATATATATTAAAATAACGCCCCAGGGTGTGAAGGTTGGTTCATTGAATGTGTTTTCACTCCAAACATTTTCTGATCCTGTTTTGAATATTTAGATCAGAAAGTGTTTAAATTTAGCTGCTCGTCAGAGAACTGGGGAAGTAAGATACCAACAGTCTAGCTTGGACAGTTTTCAGGATTGAGAAAAGAAAATCAAGAGAAAAGGAAGCACATGTAAGTTTGACAATGAGCTCATTGTCTATACTTAGGATTTTATCTTGTTAAAACCTACTTTTTTTATTAATAATTTTACATAAGCAACTTTTTTTCATTTGTAAAATAAGGTTTTTAATCAGTTCTTTTTTTGTCTGGGGTATTTCCTGTTATTCTTCTGATTCTCTGCTCTTCTTACATTGTTTCTTTGAAAAGTGGAAGGCGAGTTGTAGGTTTTATACCCTGGTTTGAAGTGTTTAAATGTTTTCTTCATTCAACAGAGACAAACAGCAGAAAGAACATCTTCCATCAGACAGCAAAGATGCAGAGGAGTTTTATTTTGTTTTTTATGTTAGGTAAGTTGATCTAGATTGTAGTAACTGTATGTTTTTGTTACAGTAGAGACATGGTTGTAGAATGAGGAACCTCAAACATAACCTTTTAACCCAAGCTCTACTGTAAATGCTGCTTGAGATGTTATAATCTAGTTATAAATTAAGCAACAAGTTTTATGTTTTCAGGTCAGAGTGTTTTTATCAGCTGTCAGCTCTATGAGTATCTCTACATCAATAAGGAAATGAACTGGACTGAAGCTCAGCAGTACTGCAGAGAGAAACACACTGACCTGGCCACAGTGTCTAACATGACAGACATGAAGAGACTCTTCAATACCACAGCAGGATATAATAGGGACGTTTGGATTGGTCTGTATGATCAGACAGATGGTATCAGAACATGGTACTGGTCTCTGCCTGGAGTGGAGTTTAATGAAAGTGAGACTAAATGGCACCCAGGGGAACCAAATGATTGTCAAACTGAGAACTGTGGGTGTTTGAATACAAATCTTAAATGGGTTGATAATAACTGCATAAATGGCAGATATTTCCTCTGTTATGATGGTGAGAATTATGATTCACTGATTCTTAAATATACTTAAACTGAACTGTTTATATTATATTGATTTGTATTTCTCCATAGAGCAAAACATGCAAAGTCAATGTGAGTGTTTCTATTTTCTCCACAGAAAATAATAGCACACAGAAATACCACTTGATTGAACAGAAGAAGACCTGGCAGAAAGCTCAGAGTTACTGCAGAGAGAAACACACAGACCTGATCAGTGGAATGAAGCAGCTACAGGATGGAGAACTGGAGGAAGTGATGAGCTCTACATCCAGTAACCCATTCATTGGTCTGTTCAGGGACACCTGGAGGTGGTCAGATGGAAGCAGTTTCTCTTTCAGACATTGGAGGGATGATCTAAACAATCATCAATACAACAGTGGTCAATGTGCTGCAGCTGGCTCTGATGATAACGAAGGCAGATGGAAGATTGACAACTGTAATCAGAAAAAACCCTTCATCTGTTATGATGGTGAGATGTTTTTATTAAGTAGGACACTTATATAAAGAACTATGTAGGGAAAATATATAAATCAATATAATAATGCCCCATTGTATTCTTGAATATTTATTCACAATGTGAAAATGTATGTCATCCACAACTTTATATTTATTACAAAATGTTTTGCAGGAACATATATATATACATACATATGCAATTATATCTATATAATTTTTTTATTTTTCTTTCCAGAAAAAGTTATCCTAATCAAAGAAAACAAAACCTGGGAGGAAGCTTTAAACTATTGCAGATATCACTACGATGACCTGGTCACCATCACCAGCCTGGATGAGCAGAGATGGATCCAGGAGAAAGCCAAGAAGGCCTCGACTGATTATGTCTGGATGGGACTTCACTATGCCTGCACTTTAGATTTATGGTTCTGGGTCAATGACAAAATGGTTCATTACCATAGGTGGCCTCCAGGGGAACCATTGGATGACTGTGACATGTCTGGAGCCATGGAGACCAGAGGAGAACAAAAGTGGAGAAAAAAAAATGATAGTGAGAAGTTTAATTTCCTTTGTTCTCAGCATTAAAACAGTTTTTTGAGCTGTTGTTTTTTTTTCTGCCAGTTACCTTAAAATCTGTGGAAATTATTTGAATTATATTGGGAATATATGTTGTATTTTATTATTGTGTAACAAATATTTCCACCAAACATAACGTTTATGGTATAATCCTTTATTACTTGTCTTATGAAAAATTGTCCTTATTTTGATCATGTAATGGGTATATTTAGGGTTTTCTTATCAATAGCCACAATGTAGATACAGTAAAAATAAGTTATAAAATAAAAAGTCTTATTGCCAATAAAATGTGTCTAAATTTAGATTTTTCTGTATTGTCATTTAGATTTTTGGTTTGTTTAGATATTAGTGTTTTTGTGTAAGCCAAATAACAGATGCTTGAAAAGAGGAAGTCCTTTTCACACTAAGAGGAGGTGAAAACCTGGTCTCTGAATAGCTAAAGTTACTCATTGTGGAAAGTGTCACCAGAAATATACTTAAACAAGAGTAGAGATACTCTAACAAAACTATTTTAATCTGGAGTGATTCACTCTGATAAAAGAAGCAATTAGAAAGACTTTATTGACATGAATGAAATAAGTTCTTTGGCATTTGATAACATACAACTAGATCAGTTAATAAACAACCAACTTTAAGTTTTCCTAAATTTGTAGACTAGTCTACTGACAAACTTCATTCAATTCAAGTTATTGATCCCAAAGGAAATTGAAATGTACAAAGGGTTTTTACTGAGTTGTTGTAGATTTTAATAGCTGTAGGTAAAAAGGGTGTCCTGTAGCAATTTTTCATGTAGCAGATCTAGAGAAGACTGAACTGAAGACACTGTTTTTGTTAAAAATGATTATGCTTTTTCACAAAGTTCTTGTCTAACTTTACTTGCACGCTTCTCCTCAGACCCGGCTGCAGAAAGAAATTAAAGGGGGGGCATTCCATTTTTTTTGGGGGGGGGCACACTTTTATTAAAATTATTTTAAAATCTTTTAAGAATAATTTGCTGAATTAGAAATCATCATTTGTTTGATCCTTAGTGTTAGAAAAAAAATGTTTCCTGACAGGTTTTCTGAACCATGTTCTAATGTCTCCCCCAGCTGCTGGTAGAAACAAGATTTTTTACAATCATTCAGAAACTGGATACGTGTTACATTTGTATTTTGTTAAAAAACATTGAACATTGTACATTGTTATTGATAAAATTTTAGGTACAATTAGGTCCAGATTAAATAGTCAAAGATCCACAAAATATAAAAAATAAACTATAGTGTAGTCCTGTGGCCATTCAAATAACTCAAAAGTTAACTCCTAGTTTGAATCAGAGTCTTTCAAAGTGAACTATTTAGAAATCTGAGTGCAGTATTGACTGTGGGTTATAAAATCTGACCTCATAAAACACAGTAACGTGTAACTTTGAGCTTAAATCATTCAGTCAGGGGCATTATTCAGGTTTAAATGTTCTGTGCTCATTTCATTTTTTTTCTTTTAAGAGACACAAATTACCCTGCAGGAGAAAGAGAAAGCATGCAATATATAATATTTACACTGGGAAACAAACAGCATTAAGACTTTCATATATCTTATTAGCCCTTTTTAGATGAGCTTTGCACTGAAATAGGTTTGCTTTAGGAAATGTAAAGCTGATGTATTTGCTAACCTTTTCTGTGTAAATTCTAGCTGGACCCAGTCCAGGCACATAGATCACATATATGCTGGAATGACTATATTGCACCTGAAACTCTATTGTAATCATTTGATTTATTTAAAAATAAACTGATTGGAAAAGCGTTTTTTTTTTACTTCAGTGCTGAATATCTTGCTTACATTTCCAGCAGAAACTGCTCCCTGGCCACTCTCATTTGCACTGTTTTCAGTACTTGTCCTTCTATTGCTTTGAAAATAAGCCTGAATATCCATACCGACGCGCACTGACGACCAGACGGATTTAAAGCATGTATGAACGTTAAGTATGTTTGACTCAGTGTCCCGCGACTCCCGCCCCCTCTGTTGTTTGATTGGATGTTGTTTTTAGTCGTCGGTTTGATTGGTTGAATTGTATGATTGACAGAATGAGAGAGGAATAATAGAAAGCTGGCTACGCTGAGTTAAAGGAAGAAAAAAAAAAAAAGACTGCTGCCAGTCCAGGGAGGGCACGGCCCCACAATGCCCGCCCATGCCGCCGGGTCTGCTTCTCCTGTTAATATGGTAAAGCCCTCCGGAGAATCCAGCACCAGGCTACACATGATACAACTTAGCCAATGAGTCGTCAGTCTGGGTTGCTGCTGTTAGCTCATTTTAGACACAGCAGGCAAACCTGTAGCAAGCCGAGTGGTGGGAAAGAAGGAGAAGAACATGAGAAAAAGAGAGCAGAGAAAGTGTGGACTGCTGGAAGAACTGATGAACTAGTGATAGAAAAGTGAAATGGCGTGCTCAAAAATGACCCAGCACATTTTGAGTATGTTTGGCTCAACCTGCTGCTGTGAAGCAGGATTCTCCACATTGAACAGAATTGAAAATAAATATGGATCCAGGCTCAAAATGACCACCTTGATATGTGCTGGAGAATGGATTTGTCTCCAATCAAACCCAGTTTTAAAGCCTTGCAGGGCAGCATAAAGCCCACTGCTCTCATTAAACCATAAAAAGAAAGAAAAAATAATGAACAGTCAGTTCACGTGTTTTATAAAATATGTAAATCAGGAAATCTGTCTGTATACCAAAATTAATGATTGTTGTTCTCTATTCGAAAAACAGACATTTTAAAATGGAAAAATGTTGCAGAATGGAAAAATATTTTTTTAATTTAAAATTTCAATGTATAACATGGATGCATAAAAAACTAATTTTAATTTTATTTCAGTTTTTAATTCTGTTTAAAGTAACACATTATAACAAAAGATTTCTTCTGAGCTTTACTGGTTGATGATTTTCTTTATTCAGACCCCGCTAATTTTTTAATTGCTTACCCCTGGTCTACAAATATTCCAAATATTATGTTCTACAGTAATAGAAAATACAAAAAATTATCATATTAAATTTTTCTTTTTTTTTGTTTCAACAAATATATATTTCATACTGACCAGAAAATCTAAACATAAGACTACAGTGTATAAGATTTACTCTCTTGTAGTGTTGCACTAAATGAATTACAAACAATGGAGAAGGCTGTGCTGGTGCCACACTATTAAAGTCATAACAACTATAGTACAGAAGCCATGGAGTGTCATACATGTGATAATGTCAACATCCAGCAGGAGTTCAAGTGTTCCATTAGGTGATGCGGTTTAAAATAATACATAATTCTGTCTTTTTATATCATATTTCTTACTGTATATTGCTTGCAGCTCTATTTATTAAATAATGACCAGAAACTCATATTATTTTGGTGTTTTCTTCCTGAGTAGACGGAAGAGACCCAACCCCATAACGTTGACAAATCAGTTAAAATAAATAAAAAAAAACACATGGAACATTGTTTGAAAAAACTGTCTGAAAGAAGCATACTGTCGCCTTTTGGTATGGCCTCTGTTAAGAATAAAAGAATGAATAAAAGCTTGTCCTATGCCACAGTTACAAAGTAATAAAACCCAATTATTTTAAAGGTGTCAAGTAACGAAGTACAAATACTTTGTTACTGTACTTAATTAAACTTTTTAGGTATCTATACTTTACTCCATTACTTATTTTTCTTCTTACTTCTTACTCATTAAATTTTTACACAAGTATCTGTACTTTCTATTCCTTACATTTTTAAAACAACAATCATTACTCATTACTCTTGGCTTAATGTTTATATTTATGTCATGTCATGTGTGCCATCCATTGGCTCCATCCACATCTAGTAAAAAACTAGTGTCATTGGATGAGTCATATAAAGCAAACACTCATTGGTTAGCTAAAGCAAATCATCAGAAGCAAGGAGGTGTATTTCAACCTCCAAATGCGAATTGATGAAGTGATACTAATCAAAGAAAACAAAACCTGGGAGGATGCCTTAAACTACTGCAGAAATCCCTGCCATGACCTGGTCACCATCACCAGCCTGGATGAGCAGAGATGGATCCAGGAGAAAGCCAAGAAGGCCTCGACTGATTATGTCTGGATGGGACTGCGCTATGCCTGCACTCTAGGTTTGTGGTTCTGGGTCAATGACAAAGTGGTTCACTATGATAGGTGGGCTTCAGGGGAACCATTGGATGATTGTGACATGTCTGGAGCCATGGAGACAGGAGAAGGACATCATTGGAGGAAAGAAAAAATGACAGTGACAAGTTTAATTAAATTTGTTCTGAACATGAGTTTAGTTTTTCTGTGTTGGCCCAATAACAGATGCTTCAAAATAAGAGCCACAAGTAAGGAGGTCTTTTTCACACTTAGTGGAGGTGAAAATGAAAAAAATGTAAATCTGTTTCCACAGCGGGAAAAATAATAGCGACCACTATCACATTTCTGTTATTCAGCAAACTTTTGCACATTTAGTGCTTTTCTTCTAAACCTAAGTGGCAAACACTAAATATAAATTGCATGCTTATTTCAAAATCCTATATTTGTATGTAAATGGTAATTCCAAATCTAATTCTCATAAAAGAAACTATTCAAGTAAGAGTAAAAATTAATTGGTAAAATTGATACAAAAGCTCTGAGCAATTGTTGGCTGTTAACATCTGGTTTATTGTTTAACAATATGTTATCAGACAGGGAGTAATGAGCAAATTCTGGGATTGTCAACATGAACATTTAAAAACAATCAGGAAAAGATAAATAAGTTACTCCTATATATTTTCTGTTGTATTTTAACCTGGCCTCTGTACACCTCAAGCTATTATTTGTGGATAGGGTAACTAAAAGTTGCACTTAAACAAGAGTAGGGAAACTTTAACAAGACTATTTCAACCTTGAGAGATTCACATTGAGAAAAAAAGCAATTGGAAAGATTTTATTGACGTAAAATAGAGAAGTTCTTTGGCACTCGGACCCCGGCAGAAGACACGATGCTCTAAGTTTGCATAAGCTTGGATGAATAACTTAGGAAGAGGATTAGAGTAGTCCTCCCCACCGGGACCCAGATACTGGTTGTTGGGTTCAAAAATGTAGGTTTGTAAGAGAAGAACTGAAATACACAGTAAGGGATTTTCATACAGCTCCTGCAGGAGGAGAGACAGTTGCAACCCAAACTCAAACACTCTCTCTCCCACCGGACCTCCTCTGCAGAGCGTTTCATTAACAGAACATAACACATGGTTACAAACAGAGTATTGATCTGACAGAACAATTGATCAGTTCATAAAGACAGGATGCTCTACTGGCTGTAAGCACAAGGCAGAGCTCTCCTCTTGACTGAATCACAAGATAGAGTGGTCTCTTGATTGAATCATAAGACAGGAGTGGAGCATCTCATTTCTACAATGTTTCATATGAACACACATTCATTTTATAATCATCATTGAATAAACCTAACACTGGTGGTGGGGTGAGCCGGATCATGAAAGGGTCTAAGAGAGCCAAGTCACACAGGAAGCCAGAAACAGAAACTGTAAATCGGCTCTGTACATTTCAAAACAGGAATTGATTAAAGGAAATGTCCTGCAGGCTTCGAGACAAACCTGCTTTACAGCAACTTTCGTGGTGGATGACACTGCTGGCATGTGAAGTTAGAAGACAGATGATTGTAAGATGTCTGAAGATAAGAGAACCACCGAAGAGGGGAAAGAAAAACGTATAACATACAACTAGACATACTACTACAGCAGTGAAGCATAACTAAGAGAAGTACTAGTTATTAGTCAAAGAATGTCAAAAAAATGTGTTCACCAGGGAAAGACAAAGAAGGCAGGCAGCCTTTGAAGAGTCAGATCATTGATTGACAATGTTTTTCAAGGTTGTCTCACCCTTCCAAGCAGGGCGTGACTTGAACTTTCTTCC